AATTAATTAAAACGGTTCCAACTACCCAAACTTATGGTCTTCTAAAATCACTGTATATAAAAATTGGAGCACGCTTTATGATTACTGTAAACCTAAATACAACAGATGGTTTAGTTAATGGTACTACAGGTATTTTAAAAGCTATTGAATTTGGCATAAATAAAGATAGTGGGGAGAAACGACCTATAAGATTGTGGATGGATTTTAATGATGCAAGTATTGGAAGATCAACAAGAAGTAATTTTAAAACTTCTAATAGGAAGAATCTAAATTTTATTCATAATGCATGGACACCACTTGAATCCGTTACATACACTGTTAAAAAATGGAAATCATCTTTAATTGTAAAACGAACACAATTTTGTATAGTACCTGCAGAAGGTATAACTATTCATAAGAGCCAAGGAGCAACTATGGAAAAAGTTGTAGTACATATTAACCAAACTATCCGTCGCTCTATGTTATATGTAGCATGCTCAAGAGCAACTGCGGCATCTGGCTTGTTTATTATTAAAATTTCATGCACCTTCTCCACCTAAAGATAATAATCCAGTAGTTATAGAATTAAACAGACTTGAATCAAATTGTCTGCTTATACCAAAATTTAGTTTTTTGTGTAACGTACCCAACCGTAAAATTCAACTTATTTTTCATAATGTACAATCGCTTAATAGACATATAATTAATATTGAAATAGATCCAATTGTTAAAGCTTCTCATGTTCTTGCTTTCGTAGAAACGTAGAGCTGTAGGGATAAAAATTTTAATATTAAAGATTTTTTTCAGACGATGAGAATAGATGGACCTACAGAAACAAAACCGAATCCTGGATGAGGATCAATTATATTTTTGAAGTCATGTTTGAAAAAATATACTCAAAATTATGATTTTAATAAAAATTTAAAACTTAGTCCAGTTAGTGGGCACTGTGAATGTATCGAAATCCAATTGTCAGGAGTTCGATTAATAAGTGTATACCGATCCCCAAAATGTTTAATTAAAACTGCTATTGCATGTATTGATGAAGTTATTTTCAAAAATTTACAAAAGAATATATCACTTCCTCTTATTATTGTGGTAGGTGATTTTAATATCGATTTTTTTAAAAATCAAAATAATGAAATCTCTAATTAGGGTAGAGTGGGGTAAAAAAGCCACATTTTTACTTTTGATGCTGTAAAATCTGTATTTAAAATTTTTTTCTCAAATTTCCAATTGTTATTGAAAGTTTAGTTATTAAGCTTGAAAATTCTTGTCGGAAATATTTTTTATCTAATGAAAGGTCTAAGTTATAAGAGTTTTACGAAAGCACTGTAAGTGGCTTTTTTGCACCACCTGGTGGGGTGAAAAAGCCACCCTACGATTTTAGCAAAACATGTTATCAATTTAGGTATTTTTATAGTTTTCCTTTATTTATATGACAAATAGTCTTATTTGAAAAATATTTTAATAATTATGAAAGAGTTTTTAGCAAGCAAAATTGAAAATTATATTAAGTTTACCGGTTTTCGATTTGCACTGCCAATTTTTCATACCTTTTTTAGAAGTTCTCTTTAAGTTTCACCACAGATAACATATTTCGTTGCAACCGTTTATTCATTGTTTATTTTTTTAATGCACTTTGAACTACTTTTTCGTCGTGTTTAATTAATTTTATTAAATAAACACGAGAAATTTTGTAAAATAAGAAGGTTAGTTTAAATAGAAAACAAGTGAATTTCACAAAATATTCAATGGATTTTTTGCCCTGGCTTTTTTCCACCCAAGACCAGTTATTAAAAAAGCAAAAATAAATTTTTAATTCAGTTCAATTTCCAAAAATTAACATTGTATACGTTTTCGGTATACTTTTCTCCTTATGTACAAGCATTTACTTTTATTATTCGTTCACTTAATCAGATTGTAATATGTTTGAAAAGTTCACCAAAATGTTTTCAAAAAAGCAACAAAAAATTAAAATTACAATAAAAACAATATTAATCTAGGTACAACATTCAAATTAGATTCAAAAGTTGCGTATTACCTAATAGTATTTATATTCTAAACAGCTGATAAATCGGCTTAATAGTTTTTAAATAAAACTCAAATGGCTTTTTTACACCATGGCTTTTTTACCCCACTCTACCCTACTTCATTAAATTTGGTTTAAATTCTAAACTTAATATAGAATATACAACAAAGCAATGTACAAGTATAGACAATATATTTTCTAATTTAGAATTTATTGAAGTTGGTACAATAGAAACATTTTTTAGTCATCATAAACAATTATGGGTTCGATTTGATGTAAATAATTAATAAATTATTAAATAAGAAACAAAATTAAAAATAATTATAAAAATTATTTTAAAATTTGGCGCGATAATTATTATTTTATGTCTAAAGGTACACTCTCACCTCACTGCCTGCCTGCCTGCGCAGGCAGGCGCCATAAGAGTGAGAGAGAAAAAACATTTAATTTGAATTTTCTTACTCTCTTACTCCTATGTGTTACCATGTCAACCTGCAGGCAGGCAGGCAGGCAGTAGGAGCTGTGCTAGCGCCTTAATCCATTTTGGGTTTGACATGAATCAATTTATACGTTAAACATAACTTCAAAATGTAATAATTAATTATTGATACAACTTCTAACCTCCGGTGGGTTTAATGTTAAATCCGACAAATTAAATATATATAAATTAACGGTCATAAATAAAATTTTATTTTTTTAAATATAAAAGGGAGATCATAATTTCATAATTTATGTCTTAATTACCAGACAAATCTCGAATCATCGTTATAGGTTTGCGATATATAACTTCAAAATTCAAAATAATACAGTTGAACATAATTTCAAAATCTAATAATTTATTATTGATACAACTTCTAACCTCCGGTGGGTTTACAGTTAAATCCGAAAAATTTAATATAAAAATTAAAGGTCATAATTAAAAGTTTTTTTTTAAATATAAAAGAGAGATCATAATTTCATAATTCAAAATAATATAGTTAAACATAACTTCAAAATTTAATAATTTGTAAAAGTGTTTTTTGGAAAAATATCAATTCGCAAAAGTTCCTTTTCGAAGAAATTTTGATTCGATGAAGTGGCAATACTTATAACAATTCGTAAAAATGTCGATTTAGACAAATAAAATTTCGTGTACAATGTACAATGAGAATTCGTTAAAATGGCACTTCATAATAAATAAAGTTCGATGAGTTGACATTTCGTAAAAATAAAGCTCTCAATTATCACTAATACCGTCAGTTATTAATTTCTGAAGTGAATGTTGCTTTAGGCATTTGTTTTTTATTATCAATAATACCTCCAGTCATTTATTTAAAAATATATATAATAAATATTTTCTACAGTGTGGTTTTTTTGTAGATCCAGAGTCTAATAATGAAATTATGGATTCTCCAATTACTAGAGAGGAAATTATCGAAAGTCTCAAAAATTGTAAAGTCAATAAGGCATGAAATTAAATAAATTTATTTATCTACGCAAGAAATTCAAAAAATCTTTCGTTACACCCTACCTACAATAAAAGCAAAATTCTAATGAGCGTCTAGGGAGAATGCAAAAAAAATATTTTTAACAGGAAATTAATAAAATAAATTAATTAATTTAACGCTTCAGTAGCACTTACATAATTTTTCGGGTATGACGAATATGTCCTGTGGTTTAACCCATACGGAGAATCCATTTAACTCCGTCGACGAGTAGGCGATAACGAGCTGAGCTGATTGGAACATGAATCCATGGTCCGCCAAGTAACTTAGCAATTGTAAAAGGATTTTTAGCTAATTTCTTCACTAGAGAAATCAAGTTTTCCTTGGAATTTACTATATTTTCTACTTTATTGGTGAGGTCTACAAATTTTAGAATTTATTAGAAGTTTTTGGGTAATCGTCTTCTGGTTGCTAATTGTTGTTTTTCTTTCCAGGTCCACGATCTTTCCTTCTTCAATAGGTGAATCAACGGAGATATCAATACTGAGATGTCTTTTACAAAGCGACGGTACCAGAATACCATACACACAAATTTTCTTAATTCTTCCAGGATCATAGGAGGTGGTAACTTTAAAATGGCATCCACTTTGTCTGGATCAGGGTGAAGTCCATCTTTATCCACTAGATGTCCAAGATAGGTAAGTTGAGTACGGGCGAAGAAACATTTTTCCTAATTTGGTACTAGCTTAGCATTCCTTAATCTCAAGAAAACTTCTTTAATGAGTTTGAGGTGTTCTTCGAATGTTTCCGAGGTTACAATGATGTCATTGAGGTAAGAAAATATATTTGGTGCTAATTCAGCCGGAATTACTAAGTCGATTAATCGTTGAAATGTTGCAGATGTTGAATTGAGTCCAAAGAGCATGACTACAAATTCGAAGAATCCTAAACCAGGTACTGTGAACGCTGAAAGGGGGCACTTTCTTCATATAACTCAACTTGTCAATAACAGTTCTTTATTGAATAAACTATCAATTGTTTCCACTGTGTCAGTGAAAAATAAACCTACAAATTTTGTCAGTGAAATTTAAATTAAAAAATTAATTAAAAGAACATTTAATAAATTTTTTCCATTTCTGTTAACTTTGAAAAAATAATTTGCTTTTATTTATTTCTAAATTTGAATGATATTACAAGTTTATTAGAGTTTATTATGATTCAATGCTTTAGAGCTTAAGAAATTAAATTTTTCTTTTTTTTACATACATCTAACAAAAAATGAACCTTACTGGAGAATCAATTATAGAAATTTATAGCTTCCATTCCTCATGGAGAAAGTATTGTAATAACAAATTTTTTAAAATTTGGTCCCTTATTGGACATTTTTTGTCCAAGTTAACAGGAGATATTAGGTTTTTAAAATCTAAAAATTTTGAAAAATAAGATGTTTTTGAAAATTTTGGTAAAAAATGTCAAAGTTACTTTAAAAGTCTCATAAGCAACTTGTAGAGCATAAAAGTTATTCATATATTTCTATTATTATTTCTATGAGGAAGCAAAGTATGTAATAAAAAGAATGTACAACTTGGCAGCGGTTTTTTTAAGTAAGACTTTATCAAATCGACTGTTCATTTACATGCGTAGATTTAGAGTCACGTTTCATTAACAAATTTTTTTCCATATTTTGTTTTCTTTTTTCTATATTTTGTCTTCTCTTTTCTAATTTGCAATGCAGTTCTTCAAACACTGCATCGTCCTGTAAAAAGAAGATTGAATTAAAGTAATTGTATTTTTTAATTATTTTTATCTTAGAATTTTAAATAAAAATCAGGGGGTATTTCACGAGTAAAACGAACATTTTCAGGTAACGATTTAAAAAACAATTTTCAAATAAAGATACTGTTAAATTTCCTTTCCCCTTGATGCAATGTGACATTAATCAACGAGATGTAATGGCTATACAATTTTCTTATTGTTAATGTCGAAAGGACAAGGATCAGGATAATGTCAAAACTATAAATAATAAAAGAAAGTTGTCTTGTTTGAAGATATTTAGATATATGTCTGTTCATATTTATATAATGGACATTAACCTGAAACCTGATGTGCATCGCTAGATTCAGAGCAATTTGTCGAAACATCCTTTGCACACCGAGATGGTTTTGGATTTTTACGACACAAAAGTTGTTGCCTAATTACCTCAAAACAACAATACAGAACTTTTGATAAATGTCGGAAAAAACATTATCCAAAAAAATTGTGAGGTTTTACAATCAAAATTGTTTGCAATGTGTTGTACTAAAGTGGAGTCCGAATAAGGAGAGGAAAGATAAATGTCGCAAAGCGATATAATGATTCTACCAGGAAGGCCGTTAGGTCACAAGGACAATTGTTTTTATTGTCAAGGAAATTTAATGAAACTCGGGACGAACTAAAATCATTACATGAATATCATCTTTGCATGATGAGTTAGATAAGCACAAACAAAAATTTTAATTCAATTTTGTGTTAACTGGGAAAATTAATCAAGATCCTTTAGAGGACCTTTATCTACAAAAATACGTTTTAAGCGTGGATTCCACAAAAATAAAAGTAAACGAAAAATTGTATATAAAAAAACAGTATTTTGGTATCAGTCTCTTCTTTCTATGTACTTGTTTAGAAATAAATTTAATATTCAATAGTATTATGAATCTTACCTCCACAATAAGATAAATCGAACAAGTAGGCGTTGTATTGTCACATAAATTATTCTTCCTTTTTACATAGTTAGTTGAGGGTAATACTTTTACATTATCAATTTTGCTTACTGCTTTTACAACATTTATATTCTTAGAATGCATATCATATTCTTTTGAAGACTCTGTGACAATATGAACTACAACATAATTAAAAAATGTTAATATACAATGATAGCAGATTATTTTTCACTGTTGTAAACTGAATTACCTTCAAAATGTAACTTTTTGTTCACATCAGTCAGCAAACTTCTGATTCTATTAATTGAATCAATTACAACATTCATTTGTGCCTCTAAATCTAAATTTTCATATTCCTGCAACTATTAAAATAAGGCTTGAAATTTCTTAATATAAAATATTAAGCACATAGAAATAAATGAACTTATTTAAAGAACTACCTCTTCGAATGCAGGATAAGATGCTTCCATCAGGGATTGAAAACATGAGAAATTTGGACATTTTTGAGACATCTTCATGTACAATTCGTCGGCTAAAAATGGAGTAAATGGTGCCAGTATTCTAAGTGATACTTCTAGACTCGTAATAAGAGCAAATTGATGAGCTAATATAAGATTATTTTTATTACTTTGAAATCCTAATTTAGTTCCTTCCTATAATAGATAAGAAGTATCATAATAAATAAACCGACACATTACAATATAAACTAGTATAATATACATAAGAGATCATAAATGAAAACTGTTTAGCAGTTCGCAGACAACTGTATACACTACAAAAAATTCTAGTCAGATAAAATAAAAAATTTAATTTTTAAGCAATACAGGGTTACCACAAAAATTTGATTTTGTTTTCCCTGTCTTTTCCCTCATTTCCAGGCAAAATTTTGACTTTTTCCCTGACCCAAAAGAATATTCTAATTCACTCTAAAAATTATTAGATACTCAAAAAAAATTATCTATTGCATTTATTTGAGAATTTCTTTCATTGTAAAATTATTCGAAAACATTAATATCTTCTTTTTTAAATAAATATTTAATCATTATTATTTTTCTATAGGAATTAAAATTGTCAAATTCAAACCATCTGAAATTCATTAATTTATGAGAATATTATTATAAAACATGAAGAAATCGATCACCACTTCTTTCAGGTTTTATAATAAATTTAAGATGACAGAGTGATAAATTAATCATTAGTTTATATCATAAGAATATTGTAACTACAAATTCAAATTTTTAAAGATTTTAATTTGAACCCTTTTCAAAATTCAGTTCTTTCTAAAAATTCACGCTATAATGCTTTTAATATTCAATTTCAATTAAACATTTTAAGTAAAATTCATTTTTTAATAAATTTCTATTTAAAAAAATGTCGAGAATTCAATTATTTAAATACAGAAATAAATAATTTATTGCATAATAATTGAATGTTTCTTAAAATTTAATTCTTATAAAGAATTGTTTCAAAATTTTTTAAAATAATTCAATTCTTTCGTCGAATTTAAAAAACAATTTTAGAATAAATTCAATTTTCTATCATTTTATATAAAAATGTATAAAAAATAATTTAAATTCTGCGATAAGTTTTGTTATTTACGAAAATAATTGAATTCTTGCAACGAATTTTATTACAACTTTTTTCAAAAAATTGAATTCCTGTGAAGAATTTCATTTGTAAAAATAATTGAATTCTGGAGAAAAATATTATTATTTATGAAAATAATTAATTTCTTGTGAACAATTTTATTCAAATTTTTTTAAATAATCGAATTTCTCAGAATTTTTCAAAACTTTGTGAAAATAATTAAATTTCATCAAGAAATTTCATTAAAAAATTGAAAATAATTGAAATCTGACGAAGAATTTTATTAAAGTTCTTTTTAAATAATTGAATTTCTGTCAAAAATTTTATTTTTGAAAGAAATTGAATTCTTGGGAAAAATTTTAATAAAATTTTCTAAATAATTGAATTGTTTCAAAGAATTTTATTTTTTACGAAAATAATTGAATTGTTTCAAAGATTTTTACAAACATTTTTGACAATAATTGTATTCCTAGGAAGAATGTTATATTTTACAAAAATAATTGTATTCTATGATCAATTATTTTATTATAATTTTTCAAATTTATAAAGCATTTTATTCAAATTTTTTAAAATAATTGCATTCCCGTAAAAAAATGTATTATTTGTGAAATTAATTGAATTCCTAAGAAGAATTGTATTGAAAATAATTGAATTGTACAAGAAAATTTTATTAAAATTACAATTTTATTAACTAAATCTTGTAAAGAATTTTGTCACCATTTTTTTAAATAATATAATTTTTAAAAGAATTTTATTTAAATTTTTCAGAACTATTTTTTTTTCAGCTCTCTGAATATATTTGAATTCTTTCGAGAAATTTCATTAAAAAATTAAAAATTATAATTGAATTGTTCCGAAGAAAATAAAAAATTGTTAAATAATTGAATTCCTGTAAAAATTTGTATTAAAATTCTGTTTAAATAATTGAGTTCTTTTGGAAAATGTTATTAAAATAGTAGATATTTAAATTAATTGAAATAATTTCTAAGTAATAATTTTATGATAGTTGTTCAAGAATTAAGTTATTTAAAAAGAAATTATTGTCGAAAATAGAAAAAATTGAAGGTTTTGTATTAGAATTCTTGACAATTTCATAGTTTATAAGGCAAAGAAAAAAGATACCAAAATTCAGAATTTTCTTATAAATTCTAAAAATTTGATTTCTTCTCGAACTTTTAATAAAAATCCCTGACTTTTCCCTGATTTCCCTGACCAATTCTAATTATCCTGACTTTTTCCTGAATTCCCTGACTTTCCTGACCTGTGCCAACCCTGTTATAAATTATTCTGTCATTTTTTACTGTGTAACAGTTTTTACTATTTTTATTAAATTTTTACTAATTTCCTTACTATGTAGTAATCACAAAATTCGTAGTATAAAAATTGTTTTATTGCTGCTGTTGCTTTATTCAATGATTTTTCACTCAGGGCATCGTTAACACTCTTAACCATATGTGCCAATCTACTCAAAATCCAACTATCCAAAGTACTTAATTCAGTTGGAATTGGTATATAATCTTCACTGGTCATGCGCAATGTAAATTTACATGCTTGCAAGATTTTATTGCAAAAGAACGTATTTGCAACACATTGTTCTACATTAAAACTGTTAGTTAAATCTGAAAAAACAGTAAAATTAATAATAATTTTTATTAAAATTATATTATATTTAAAAAAATGTGTTTACTGTTTAAACATGATTAAAAAAAATCTATTCCATACTTTTCACATTGAGAGAAGACAGAGTGAACCGTAAAGCGTCAGCACCACATTCTTGAATACCTTTGGGATATGTTTTACTATTTACAGAGAAAGTTCGTTTTAATTCTTTCTGACTAAGTATTCCCGAATCATGACTTTCCTGAGCTTGCTTGTTGAGATTCTACAATTTCGAAGATAAGAATATTTTAATCAAATGTGATAATTAAACCCCGTATGCCACTATAAAATGTAAACTCACGCTCAAATTAATGCCATTTATAACATTTTCCGGAGAAATTACATTTCCAGCACTTTTAGACATTTTCTTTCCATGCGCGTCACACAAAATTCCATGTAACAATAGCTCCTAAATTTAAATGAAATAAATGCTTTTAATGAACGAACTTTTTAGTTATTAAACATCTAACATTGTTTTCATCATTTACCTTAAACGGTAAATTGTTAGTTAATTCTAATCCTAACATAGTCATTCTAGCTGCCCAGAAGAATAAAATATCTTGTCCTGTTACTAAAAGTGACAAAGGGTAAAATTTCTGAAAATTTTCATTCTGTAAAGTTAAAATGATATAGTTAAAAATTACAAATATAATTATTTATAAATTAATTAATATTATTTTAAAAAATATAAAAAAGTAAAAATATTACTACTATACTAAATATATAGTTAAAATAATTACTTGATTAGGCCATCCCATTACAGAACAGGGTAATAAAGCAGAGGAAAACCACGTATCTAATACATCGTTATCTTGTTCAACTTTAACTTCATGGCCATATTTTTCTCTAGCTAATTTTAGTGCCTCTTCTTCAGATGACACAACAAACCACGTACTTTTATTTTCATATTCACATTGATAGGCAGGAATTCGATGTCCCCATATTAATTGTCGAGATAGGCACCAATCTCTAAAATCATTAAAACGGTGACAATTTTTACAAAAATCTTTTTCACGATTGATTATTTTATGCTAATAAAACATTTGATTCAAAATATTTCTTTGAGAAATTTTCATGAACTATTATTTTTTCTTTTCTACCTACTTAACGCTTATTTTCTAAATGAATATTTTAAGACTTTAATCCTTTAATGACCAAGTTTTTATCGTTAATTTAGAGTTATAATGTATATTATATTTAATTACTTAAGTATTCAGTATGAGACAAATTTTTTTAACATGATTCACCCCTTAAAACCACCTTAAAGGTACATTATTACCCCAAAAAAGTGTATATTTAACCTATAACTGATAAATTATGTATTTTTCAGTTCCTATCTGTTTTATAATTATTTATAAACATTCCCTGGTTGTTTAAAAATTAAAAACGATTATCAATAACCCCTTGAAAACCACCCTTAATGTCAAATAACCACCTCTTGACCGTGAAAGTTTTTGTAAATAATTAAAAAAAAATCTATAGTCGCTAATTGCTTCTAAATTATAAATTAGTATTTGAAAATTAAAGATATCAATAATAACAATAAAATCAGCCCCTACCCTTGAAGCCCACAACTAATTCATAACTTTTCTTAGTTTGGAACAATCAAAAAATAATTTTCACTGATTCTATACGTTTCGAAAATATGAAAAAATATTTCTATGATAACTAAGTATTGATGTTGAATTTAAACAACTTCTGAAAAACAACCCTAAAGATGAAAGATATTCGTAAAAATAACACTTCATCTTTTTTAAAACTGACATATTCGTAATCAGCGACCCCGAGGGACAAGTTTCTCGCAAATTTAGTGAATTTTTTTATAACTTTCGGTCGCCATATTGGATCCGCCATTTTGAATTTTTAAAAACTGACATATTCATAATCAGCGACCATGAAAACCCCTGAGTAATAAATTTTAGGTGAATCTGGTCAATTTTTAAATTGTTTAGATTTGGGGGTAGTTTTCGTTAACCTTTATGGGACTCACGAGGTACCCGGGTACCTTTTTGCATTTTTAAATTGACTTTTTTCATAATTTTTAAAATCATATCGACCTTAGGTTTTTTGACATCTCAAATGTATCCATACAAAGTATTTTCATATTATTTATAATGTACCTTTTTTATTTATTTATTCGGAAATAATAAACAAAGTTTCATCACCCATAAAAGTCGGACAAGGTATCCAGGTACCTCTGTGCATTTCATGCAGATAAATGTAAAGAAAGTTGTGTTAAAAAATTATGAAAAATTTCATTACATAATTTTTATAGTTCTGCACATAATTTTTTTATAAAATATGTAATTTAGTTACTATAGTTAATTAATAATATCCATAAGAAATCATAAGAAATCAACAAATTAAACATATGTACCCGGGTGCCTCGTCCATCCATAGAAGGTGTTTTTTTCCTCAATCCCATAAAGGTTAAATTTTTTTACTCTGGAGGTAATATTTCGTTATTTTTTTTACGAAGTTTGAAATATTTTTAAACATATGTTATTGTGAAAGCTGAAAATAAAAATTTCTTCTAAAATTTAAACGGTTTTTTTAAATTTTGTGATTTTTTGCCTTTTTGAAGGTATTTTAGTAGAACTGATCTGTTAGTTTTAAGAAATTTATAATTGTTTGAAGTAAGTGGGACGTATGTGTCCCACTGGAATGGCCATTAAAGGGTTAAACTTAAAATATAAAATTTCCATATTTAGAGTTTAAAAATACATTATTACTTTACACCTTCGAGCCAACTAAACCAAGCTTCCTCATATAAAGGTGGATCCAGTCTCAAAGATTTATCATGAACAGCTTTCATTGCAAGTTGTGCCATTGATTTGCACTTTAAAAACCATTGTTCCTTTAACATATATTCAATAATATCACCTGTTCGTGAGCACATAGGAACTATCATTTCATGATCGCGTATGCTTTTTAAAAGTCCCTTTTCAGATAATTCCGCAATTATCCTATTGCGTGCAACATACCTTGCAAGACCCTATTTAAATATATCATACGTTAGTAAGGAAAGTACAAACTAAACATTTTTGAATAAGTTTTTCGACTTAAAAAAACATGTGCCGAAAGACAAATAACTAAATTTCACAAGAGATTCATACAAAGATTATTTATTTAAGAACATCACATAACCTGAAAATTTCCAGCATGTTCGGTCATTTTTCCATCATCACCAATTACAGAAACAATTTCTAAGTTATGTCTATTGGCAATACGATAGTCTTCGATATCATGAGCAGGTGTAACTTTCATAGCACCTATACAATGAAATATGTTTTAGGTTCATGCTAATAATACAAATGTCATTTATACTTAAAACCAATGTTAAAATCAAAAAATTTTACAATTATACTTACCAGTTCCGAATTCCATTGAAACTGAATCATCAGCTATTATGGGCAGAAAAGAATCTTTAAAAGGATGTTTTACAAAACGTCCAATATATCGACTGTACGAACTATGATTGGGATTAACAGCAATAGCTACATCACCGCAAATTGTTTCTGGCCTGGTAGTGGACACAATAATTGTTTCATCTGTATACATAGATTAATGTCTATTTCTTAATAAAATTGCGCTATAATGAAGAAGAATAAAAATTATTTCTAATTCACCTGAATCTTTTAATTCGTAAGCTATATCCACTATTTGTCCGAATGTGACTTTTTTCTTGTATCCTGGAATTTCTAGATCTGTTTTGCCCATAACGCGAATATGATCGACTTCGATGTCAGAAATTCCACTACGCAATGAAGGAGACCAGTTTATCATATCTTTCTCTCGATATAATAAATCACGCTCATGTAAAGTAATAAATGCTTTTGAAACTGCTTCTTTATGAGTCTGAAAAATGTGAAAATAACCCAGTAAAAAGCGAGGAATTTAAAAGAATTTACAAGTTTAATTCTTCTAAATGGGTGAATTTCCAAAATGATCCAATTCATCCAATAATTGCTTATAGCTCTGATTTAGAGTATAAAAGTCTTTGTCAACAAACTCTTTTTCAACAATTGTTGAAAAATTGAAAAGTTTCAATCAATTCAACAACCGATTAGATCACTTTTGGTTTAGTATAGTTTAACAGACGTTAATCATTCATACACGCAACTTCATCGATATTAAACATTTATAAATTTAAAAAAAAATTAACTTAAAAAATTATTACTAGAGTCTATGCTAGTATCTCATTAGTTACATTAGAACATAATATCAACTCAGTTAATCTGTTTTTTCATGGAAAAATTTAGAACGTAATTGATAGTATAGGAACAAGTTAAACAAAAAAATTATTAAAATTTGTTTCTTTTGCGGAGAATAATATATTGTAAAAATTTTAATTAGGGAAAATAAAAAATAAATATATCTATCTAATAAAAATTTGCATCTTTATAGATTCTAGTTATTCTACAACACTAACATTTTTACATATTTAGAAATATATATATTGAAATAAAGTGATAATAAATTTACCTTACTCATTGTAAAGAAATGTTGTGACCAATCCAAACTAGCTCCTAATTTTCTTAGTTGATGATTTATTGCAGACCCTTTATCATCATTCCATTTCCAAATAAAAGACAAAAATTCATCCTTACTCATATCATGTCGTTTAATGCCTTTAGTTTTAAATAAATATTTTTCAACAACTGCTTGAGTGGCGATCCCAGCATGATCTAAGCCTGGGATCCACAATACAGAATCACCCTTCATTCGAAGCCTGACAATTGAAAAATTAAAAATTTGTTTAGTTTTAGAAAAAAAGTGTAAAATAAGTTTAAAATAGTTTTCATTATTTATTAGTCACTCGAAGAAAACCCTTTCGTACATAGATTGACTCTGGGTGTCAGTTAATTAAACATGTATTTGCGTGTGTCTGGGTCAATTTTGTTTAAATAAAACAGTTTAACTTTGGTTTTCTAAATACAACCATAAAGTTGAACTTTATTGAACTTACCATCTAGCAATAATATCTTGAACTGTTGTTGTTAGGGCATGTCCTAAATGTAAAGTACCAGTTACATTAGGCGGTGGAAGAATCATCGTGTAATGAACATCCCTATCACTTTTTACTTTAAAGTAGCCTTTTTCTTCCCAAAGCCGGTACCATTTTTCTTCGATTTCATTAGGTTTGTAAGAGACGGGGAAATCTAAAATCGTAATCAAATATAATACTAACTTTTGTATTTAAATAAATCTTAATTTATTGGATTACTAATAAGAGGTAAGAGAGCGAGTCGGTAAGAGACCCCCACTCGGTCCTCTCTGATTGACTGAGAGCTTAGGTGAGAGCCCCGCCAATAGAAGCGTTGTTCGTTCTGTAGAAACGCAAAAACAAGTTGGTATATAAGAGTGTGTGTTCTGACAGTTGGCTAAGCCTGAAGTCATTTAAAAAAAAAAAAAAAAAAGAGCGACAGTTTAGTCTAGAGGGATCCGGACACGAAGAAGGGAGAAGGATGTTGAACTTTACAATTTTATTTATTGTATTAAAATATTAAATAAAGTCATTTAAAACATGAACCAATTATGTATAAAAAAATTTAACTTTCCATTACTAATACAAATCAGTCTCAAAAATTTCATATTTTAAAGTAAATTTTGATCCCTGGTAAAAATTTCGGACTAATTCTGGATTAAATACGGAGAGATTAGTACGGATTAGTCCGAAAATTGTACGAAAAAGGTCCGAAAATGGTCCGCGCTAGTCTGATATCAATCGGAACAAAAACCTGAATCCGAAAACACTCCGTAGTAATCCTGAATGTCTACGAACTCAGTCCGTAATTAGTCCGCAACCATCCAAACTTATGACCGGTAAAGAATTCTTCTAAAATAAGTACGGAATCATCCGAAATCAATATGTAAAGAATACGGAATCAGTCCACAACAATCCAAGTTTAATCTAGTTAAAAAAACTTAATCTGAAAAATGTCCGGAGCAATCCGAACTCTGTAAGCAAGAAATCCGGTATTAGTCCGCAACAATTTTAAATTAAGTGTGGCGAAATCCTATTCCGAAAAAAGTACGAAACAATCCGAAAATTGTCTGCAACAATCCGGAATTAATCCAACTAAAAAGTATAATCCAAAACAAATACGAAATAATCCGAAATCTGTACACAATGAATCCGACATTAGTCCGCTTCAATTCGGAATTAGTGTGGTAAAATCATATTCCGAAACAAATACGAAACAATCCGAAATATGTATGCTAAGAATCCGGTAATAGACGGCCACCCGAATCATATTATATCCCTGATAAAAATTTCGGACTAATCCGGGTATATTAGTGTAGATTAGTCCGAAAATTGTACGAAAATAATCCCCGTTAATCTACCATCAATCCGAGTGAAATTGTGAATCCTAAATCAGTCTGGAGTAACCTTAAATGTCTATGAATTAAGTCCGTAATTATTATGCAACAATCCAAAATTATGTCCGTCAAAAAACTCATCTAAAATAAATACGAAATAGTCCGAAATCAATATGTAAAGAATACGAAATCAGTCCGCAATAATCCGAATTTAACCCAGTTAAAAGATTTAATCCGAAATCTGTATGCAAATAATTCGGTAATATTCAGCGTCAATCCGAATAATATCCGATCAAAACACCCCATTTCGAAAATAAGTCTTATTATTATAAGATTTTGTAAATATGTACAATCCACAGACAGTTCAAAACAATCCATATTCAATCCAATTCAAAGACTTAATCCAGAATGATTTTGGTATAATATTGAATTTGTATATTAAAAACAATTTGTATTAAATGCAGATAAATTCAAACTCTAATTATAATTTCGTATGACAAAAGCCTGACCAAAACCAGATTAATTCCGGATTTAATAATTTCACATTTGCAAGTTGCGTATTATCAGACTAACTTCGGACTAGATCGGACTAATTCCGGATTCACTGGTTATACACAAACCGCATTGAGTTTGAATTTATCCGGACCAATTCCGAGCGACAAAAACCTGTCCATAAGCAGACTGTTTCGGATTAGCTGCGGATTCACTGGTTAAACCAACCGGATTACTTCTGAATTTACTAGTCGCATATGATCTGACTAACTGCAGACTAAACCGGACTAATTACGGATTCAATAGTTATAAAAAACGGTATTGATTTCAAACTTAATTCATGGTGAAAAAACTCCACAATAAACCGTACTGTTGCGGGAAAATTCCGGATTAGTACGAAATCGGTCCCACTTTTTATTCAGGGTATTTACTTACGGTAAATAAAATATTTAATTCTGCAGTCAGTTTGTTTTAACAAATTTACTAGTAGGTATTATTAGTTATCTTGTTTCAATATTAAAATTAACACTGATGTGTTAGTTTCTTGTCATTTCTTTTCGTGGCACTTCATAAATTCTATTATGAATTTGAACTCCCATGCGAGCGTCGTGGTATAGTGGTTAGTGTATTCGATTTCGGTGCGATATAATGTTAGATAGGTGTAGGTTCGAATCCCCAAGCGTTAGAAATTTTAAGTTAATGTAAATATAATTGCGATGGGTAAATCAAAAAAATATGTTGAATGTACCATAAAGTAATAATAATTAATATGTGTAACTTGTATAATTATTTTTTTATTAACATTCACTAAATTGTCTGGACTAATTTTTGACTGTTTCGGACTAAATCTGGATTTACTAGTTAGAATTAACTGATTAATTTCAGACTTCATCGGACCAACTCCGGTTTCACTAGTTGTTTACAAACCGTATAGAGTTCGGATTTTTCCGGATTAATTTCGGGTGACAAAAACCTGACCATAAACCGCATTGTTTTGGACAAATTTCGGATTAGTCCGAAATCTGTCCGGTTTTTTAACCAGGGATGTTTTTGATATTCGATCAATTATTGAATAAAAAAAATCGATTATCATAACATTAAAAATAGACACATGTAACAAGCCTTATTATTAAAATGCTTTCAATTAATATTATTATGTTATTAGGTATCGAAAGATAGTCTCGACTGGCTAAATTCTTGGAACAAAAGAGTAAAGGATATTTTTATCAAACCTAAAAATTTTTTGGAGAGGAAACCGCTGTGGGGTTGCGAATGACTCTTCATTCAACAAGGAATTAGCCAATCATTTATTAAATGAATTAAAATTGGATGTTGTGCTTACGAGAAGAATAAATTTTAACATTTTTTCATTTAACAAATTCTATGTGACAAAATAGTCTTAGATAATTTCTTTTAAATAAGTTAAATCATGTATAATAATACAAATAATAGAAAAAATCATAGAAAATCCTAGTGATTAAGAAATTTTCTGCTACGCTTTCATTTATTCACTTTCTTTATATTTCAAATATTATTGTGTTCTTTTTTACAGAATTGACTATATTTTATAATTATCAATTTTTTTATGATGGTAATAAAAATGATTTATTTTTTATAGAGATTTTTCGGATCTATTAGACTGACAGGCGGATGTAATGATCACCCAATAACTCCAACCTTCCTCCAAATTTATAAAATTCTCTCGTTTTATTGTATTCTAAAACCTCCAAAAACGGGAAACTGTTCTTAAACTGATGTTTCTAATGTTAAGCCCTTGATGACCATGTCCCAATTGAGAGAAATCGTTAAATCCAATGAGAAAAAGTTCTTTATTGAAGGCATAAAGAAAAAATTAAATATTGTTGTTGAACAGAAAGACAACGACTTTTCAGACTTTATATAAGCATGACTATGATACTATATATCATGACTATGATAATCCATATGTTATTCAGTGCTTGATGTATTTTGTGACGGGCAATATTTACAAAAATTTTAGAAAGTTTACCAAATGTGAGGTGTGTCAAACTGCACTGATCGGGTCAAAAGAAAATTTCTTTATTTCAAATCATCCGATTGCTCAGCTAGTGACAAGAGAAGAGAAGAAAATAGAAATTCAGCATCCAAACCAGAAATTATACTGCCCTACAAGGGCAGTTAGACAAGCAATAAATAAAAAATATCTAGAATTAACATGGGCAGAAAAAAGTAATAAATTAAAAATTTCTGTTTTTACTCGTATAAGCATAAGGTCCAATCAAAGCTTTTTTCCTTTAGGATTGTAAAAAAATCACTGTAAACCAATTGCTGCTATCTGACACGAAGGTATTTTCGGGCGTAATAAAGAGCAAATTAGGGGTCGTCCATATACCACGTGGACAGTTTAGGGGGGAGGGGGGGTTCGCCAAAAATCCACGATTTTCCACGAGGGGGGAGGGGAGGGGTCAATACAAATGTCCACGTGGACACAAAAGTTTAATTTTATATCTTTTTTTTCTTTATATTCAACTTTATTATTAGATTATTATTAGATTGTGATCAGACAATATTTGTAATCCGAAATTTATTTAACTGTCAAAAAAACGCCAAATTCTTTTTTAATTTATATTACAAAATCATTATCGTAAATGCACAAATATGAATATATGCAAATTTGACAATTAGGAATACAAAGCAACCTCTACAAACTCTTACAAATTCTGAAAAAAATAATTTCTATTATTGTTTATGTGAAGGCTCAAAGCTATTGGATTTTAGAAAAATTTTAGATTTGTTACAGAAGAGATTAAGTATTTCTACTAATATAATAATTGAAGATATATTGCTGCCAAAGTCCTCTCTATAATACTAAAAATGGTATTTACCTATTTAATAATATTTTAAGATAATTTAATCTTTATTGAATTTTAAAGAAGTTTGTTATAAAAAAATTTAAAGAATTTTTTAATTGTATTTCTTATTAAATATCTTTTTATTATTCACTATTTTAAAATAAAAAACCCGATTGTCCACGTGGACAATCAGGGGGGGAGGGAGGGGTTTGTCAAAAATCCACGATTGTCCACGAGGGGGGAGGGGGGGGTCAAAAATTGTCTAAAAAGTGTCCACGTGGTATATGGACGACCCCTTATAAGTGCGCATCATTTTTTTTACAAACTCGCGATTCAAATTAGATTGTTCTTTGGGTAGACAACTACTCTGCGCAAAATAAGAATTGTTGTCTTATGACATTTCTGATTTATATAATATCATACTGTACGTCTGCACTTACACTATTGAATTGTAAAATATAAAATTTAATTTAATGATTAACATAAGCAGCTAATGAAGTCTAATTATTCGCCAT